TCCCCAGCTGCAACACACCGGCTCTGAGACAATCCTTCTTATCCCCAGCCACAACCCACCGGCTCTGAGACAATCCTTCTTATCCCCAACCACAACCCACCAGCTCAGGGACAATCCTACTTATCCCCAGCAGCAACACACCGGCTCAGGGGTTAACCCTAGTTATCCGCAGTGACCACCATTTTTCCTATTGCGAGTTAACCCCTTGTTAACTGGAATGTACCGTGGTCCCCATACCACTGATGGGTCCCGAATTTGTCTCCATACAGAATTCTTTCCTCCTCCAAAGACCAACCACGGCCAAGGCCGCCGTGACAATCAAAAGCAAAGCACGGAGGGGAGGGAGGGTGGGAAGCTTCTTCTTCTTCCAACTTCCCCACTGGACTTCCTGAGGTGGGACATTCCTTTTCCTCCCTATGAACCCTCCCCAACATTCCCATCCAATCCGGTAAGCCATAATCCCAAAACTTCCTACCCTTCTTTTAACCCTCTGTTGCCCTTCTATTCCCCCCGGTCATGTTGTCCATGTGCTTAATTTTTTTATTTTGTTTGCTCCGGGTCTAGCTGTATAAAGCTCACCAGCTCTAAAACCCAAATAGCGAGGATGCAGTGTGAGTGGCACAGCCTTCCCCTTTAAAATCAAACAATAATATCAAAACCGCACAGAATAGCCGGCGCCATTAATTGCAGTTTCCATAAATACTGCGAGCGCACTGTGCTGACTACTGGGTGCAGTTTTGTAATATTATTGTTGGATGTTCTCTCTAATTGCGGCTGTAGATCAGGGAAATGCTACACGTTCATGATTTACATTCATTGTTGTTTTTATTTATTCTCCTTTTCTTCTTTTTACTTTGAAACTCCGTTGATCCAACCTTAGACACGCGAGTATGTAAAAAAACCCGGGGAGTGTTGAAGTCAAAGGTTTGATTTGGGCGGTTTTCAACCAACAAATAATATTCTACCGGAAGGTCGGAACCTGTTTTATTCAGGAAAATAATAATTTGTTGTGTTGTGTTTTTTTTTTTTTTTTTTTATTTCTTTTAAGTGAATACTTAGCCATACATGAAAGTTATTATCGCAACCTTCTATTGATTGCCGTATAAAAGCACAATAGATCAGGAAGAATACATTTTCAGCGCAATAATGCATCTCTCGTTTTCCTTTTAAGTAGTGCCCCCCTCCCCACCCCCAACCCCCACCCCACCATCGGCATCGTCTAAACGCCAATTATAGTATGTAAATGGTTTATGCAAAACTGAAGGCAATGTACGATAACCTGTGTTCCACTTTGAAGAAGGCAGTGCCAGCACAAATACAGAAAATGCCAAATTGCGTCCAAGTCGTTTGCCGTTTTTGGCAAAGTACGAAAAAAAGTGATTGGCCGTGCAGTAAGAAAATGTAATATTGTAACACTGAAGGTTCTTGGCATGGTATGGAGGAGCCCGTTGCCCATTGTGGCCATTTGTTTCCTTTCTGAGGTTTTCTACATGTATTGGACGCCTCGCTCCTTTCCTGATTCAGGACGCTCATTGTTTTCGGCAGCAAACATTAAATTTTCTGGCAGCCTCGTCCCACAGCTTCTCTATGAATATTAAACGGCTCCTTTGTCCGGGGGGGTATCTCCATCACCATTTGCCGTGATGAGCGGCCTTTTCACGGTTGTGTTTGTAGGAGTGTAGGTAGTCCAGAAAGCCACCGAGGGCTGCGGAGCGCAGATATCTCACAGACGGAGTCAGAAGAATGCATGGAGCCTGTGATCAGGACAAAGGAATCACAAAGAGCAAGAGAGGATGGGCCGGAGGAATCACAAAGAGCAATAGAGGACAGGCCGGAGGAATCACAAAGAGCAATAGAGGACAGGCTGGAGGAATCACAAAGAGCAATAGAGGACGGGCCGAAGGAATCACAAAGAGCAAGAGAGGACGGGCCGAAGGAATCACAAAGAGCAAGAGAGGACGGGCCGGAGGAATCACAAAGAGCAATAGAGGACAGGCCGGAGGAATCACAAAGACCAAGAGAGGACGGGCCGAAGGAATCACAAAGAGCAAGAGAGGACGGGCCGAAGGAATCACAAAGAGCAAGAGAGGACGGGCCGAGGAATCACAAAGAGCAAGAGAGGACGGGCCGAAGGAATCACAAAGAGCAAGAGAGGACGGGCCGGAGGAATCACAAAGAGCAAGAGAGGATGGGCCGGAGGAATCACAAAGAGCAATAGAGGACGGGCCGAAGGAATCACAAAGAGCAAGAGAGGACGGAGGGACCAAGAGAGGACGGGCCGAAGGAATCACAAAGAGCAAAGACGGGCCGAAGGAATCACAAAGAGCAAGAGAGGACGGGCCGGAAGGAATCACAAAGACCAAGAGAGGACGGGCCGAAGGAATCACAAAGACCAAGAGAGGACGGGCCAGAAAGGAATCACAAAGAGCAAGAGAGGACGGGCCGAAGGAATCACAAAGAGCAAGAGAGGACGGGCAGAAAGGAATCACAAAGAGCAAGAGAGGACGGGCCGAAGGAATCACAAAGAGCAAGAGAGGACGGGCAGAAAGGAATCACAAAGAGCAAGAGAGGACGGGCCGAAGGAATCACAAAGACCAAGAGAGGACGGGCAGAAAGGAATCACAAAGAGCAAGAGAGGACGGGCCGAAGGAATCACAAAGAGCAAGAGAGGACGGGCCGAAGGAATCACAAAGAGCAAGAGAGGACGGGCCGAAAGGAATCACAAAGAGCAAGAGAGGCAGAAACGAATCACAAAGAGGCCGGACGGGCAGAAAGGAATCACAAAGAGCAAGAGAGGACGGGCCGAAGGAATCACAAAGAGCAAGAGAGGACGGGCAGAAAGGAATCACAAAGAGCAAGAGAGGACGGGCCGAAGGAATCACAAAGAGCAAGAGAGGACGGGCCGAAGGAATCACAAAGAGCAGAGGACGGGCCGGAGGAATCACAAAGAGCAATAGAGGACGGGCCGGAGGAATCACAAAGACCAAGAGAGGACAGGCCGGAGGAATCACAAAGAGCAATAGAGGACGGGCCGAAGGAATCACAAAGAGCAAGAGAGGACAGGCCGGAGGAATCACAAAGACCAAGAGAGGACGGGCCGAAGGAATCACAAGGAGCAAGAGAGGACAGGCCGGAGGAATCACAAAGAGCAAGAGAGGACGGGCCGGAGGAATCACAAAGACCAAGAGAGGACGGGCCGAAGGAATCACAAAGAGCAAGAGAGGACGGGCCGGAGGAATCACAAAGAGCAAGAGAGGACGGGCCGGAGGAATCACAAAGACCAAGAGAGGACGGGCCGAAGGAATCACAAAGAGCAAGAGAGGACGGGCCGAAGAAAGGAAACACAGACGGCAAACCAAGCAGCTTTGTGACGTCCACCAGATAGGTAGACAAAGCCGGCGGTGCTGAACCGAATAAAAGCGAACAAGTTTTATATACTTCTTCTAAAATCGCAGCTTCCCCTCTGTGGTTTCTGTGAGAACAGAAAGATGCTGATTGTGTAGCGCTACCCCCGTAGGAGCCACTGCAACTTAGCTGGTTCTTTCCCAAAGTTAGTGCAAAGGCGGCCAGGCACACAGCAATGCTTCACTTATTCTGGCTCAATTAGTCTGGGGCAGTGGTCCTCAAACTGTGGCCCAGGGGCCAGATGCTTGCTTTTATCTGGCCCTTGGGGCACTATTTCATCCAATGATGCCAACAATGGGACCCAATTTTGCCCAGTGACACACAGCAGTACTTCACCTATTCTGGCTCAATTAGTCTTGGGCAGTGGTAACCAAACTAGATGCGGCCCTTTGCTTGTTTTTATCTGGCGCTTGGGGCACTATTTCATCCAATGATACCAACAATGGGGTATAATTCCCCTTACTGACACCAACGATGAGACCCAATTTTGCCCAATGACACACAGCAATGCTTCACTCATTCTGGCTTAATTAGTCTGGGGCAGTGGTCCTCAAACGGTGGCCCGGGGGCCTGATGCGGCCCTTTGCTTGCTTTTATCTGGCCCTTGGGACACTATTTCATCCAATGATATCAACAATGGGGTATAATTCCCTCTACTGACACCAACGATGAGACCCAATTTTGCCCAATGACACACAGCAATGCTTCACTTATTCTGGCTCAGTTAGTCTGGGGCAGTGGTCCTCAAACGGTGGCCCGGGGGCCAGATGCGGCCCTTTGCTTGCTTTTATCTGGCCCTTGGGACACTATTTCATCCAATGATATCAACAATGGGGTATAATTCCCTTTACTGACACCAACGATGGGACCCTATTATGCCCAATAAACACACACCAATGCTTCACTTATTCTGGTTCAGTTAGTCTGGGGCAGTGGTCCTCAAACTAGATGCGGCCTTTGCTTGCTTTTATCTGGCCCTTGGGGCACTATTTCATCCAATGATACCAATAATGGGGTGTAATTCACCCCACTGACACCAATGATGGGACACAATTTTGCCCAATGACACCAACAATGGGGCCCTATGACAACGATGATGGGGCACAATTCATCCCTGTGACACCAATGATGGGCACAATTCGTCCTACTGACACCAACTATGAGGCACAATTGTTCCCCATGACACCAAAGATGGTGTTAGTGTCTTTTCCCTACTAACGTCAGGACCTTTTCTACTGCCAATGGCCAGAGTCCGGCCCCCCTAAAGTCTGAAGGACAGTAAACTGGCCCTTTGTTTAGAGAGTCTGGAGAGTACTGGTCTAGGGGAATGGCTTTTTGTAATTTGATGTAGAAACTTGTTGCACTACTCTTGTAAGGGCCGCTGGATGGCCAGGCGACATGCATTTTCCCACACTTGCACTATGGGATCAGAAAACAGTCCTTTCACTTGGTTTTGTCATTTTATTAAAGGGGTTAAACTTGGATGGGGTCTAGGGGTATATCCGCTCTCCCCCGGACCCCGCATTCACTATATCTGCTCTCTCCCCGGACCCCGCATTCACTATATCCGCTCTCCTCTTGACCCCGCATTCACTATATCCGCTCTCCCCGGACCCGCATTCACTATATCCGCTCTCCTCTTGACCCCGCATTCACTATATCCGCTCTCCCCGGACCCCGCATTCACTATATCCGCTCTCCCCGGACCCCGCATTCCCTATATCCGCTCTCCCCGGACCCCGCATTCACTATATCCGCTCTCCCCGGACCCGGCATTCACTATATCCGCTCTCCCCGGACCCCGCATTCACTATATCCGCTCTCCTCCTGACCCCGCATTCACTATATCCACTCTCCCCGGACCCCGTATTCACTATATCCACTCTCCCCAGACCCCGCATTCACTATATCCGCTCTCCCCGGACCCCGTATTCACTATATCCACTCTCCCCAGACCCCGCATTCACTATATCCGCTCTCCTCCTGACCCCGCATTCACTATATCCGCTCTCCCCGGACCCCGCATTCACTATATCCGCTCTCCCCGAACCCCGCATTCCCTATATCCGCTCTCCCCGGACCCCGCATTCACTGTATCCGCTCTCCCCGGACCCCGCATTCACTATATCCGCTCTCCCCGGACCCGGCATTCACTATATCCGCTCTCCCCGGACCCCGCATTCACTACATCCGCTCTCCCCGGACCCGGCATTCACTATATCCCTCTCTCCCCAGACCCCGCATTCACTATATCCGCTCTCCCCGGATCCCGCATTCACTATATCCGCTCTCCCCGGACCCCGTATTCACTATATCCGCTCTCCTCCTGACCCCGCATTCACTATATCCACTCTCCCCGGACCCCGCATTCACTATATCCGCTCTCCCCGGACCCCGCATTCACTATATCCGCTCTCCCCGGACCCGGCATTCACTATATCCGCTCTCCCCGGACCCCGCATTCACTATATCCGCTCTCCCCGGACCCCGCATTCACTATATCCGCTCTCCCCGGACCCCGCATTCACTAAATCCGCTCTCCCCGGATCCCGCATTCACTATATCCACTCTCCCCGGACCCCGCATTCACTATATCCGCTCTCCCCGGACCCCGCATTCACTATATCCGCTCTTCCCGGACCCCTCATTCACTATATCCGCTCTCCTCGGACCCCGCATTCACTATATCCGCTCTCCCCGGACCCCGCATTCACTATATCCGCTCTCCCCGGACCCCGCATTCACTATATCCGCTCTTCCCGGACCCCTCATTCACTATATCCACTCTCCCCGGATCCCGCATTCACTGTATCCGCTCTCCCCGGACCCCGCATTCACTGTATCCGCTCTCCCCGGACCCCGCATTCACTATATCCGCTCTTCCCGGACCCCGCATTCACTATATCCGCTCTCCCCGGACCCCGCATTCACTGTATCCGCTCTCCCCGGATCCCGCATTCACTATATCCACTCTCCCCGGACCCCGCATTCACTGTATCCGCTCTCCCCGGACCCCGCATTCACTATATCCGCTCTCCCCGGACCCCGCATTCACTATATCCGCTCTCCCCGGACCCCGCATTCACTATATCCGCTCTTCCCGGACCCCTCATTCACTATATCTGCTCTCCCCGGACCCCGCATTCACTATATCCGCTCTTCCCGGACCCCGCATTCAATATATCCGCTCTCCCCGGACCCCGCATTCACTATATCCGCTCTCCCCGGACCCTGCATTCACTATATCCGCTCTCCCCGGACCCCGCATTCACTATATCCGCTCTCCCCGGACCCCGCATTCACTATATCCACTCTCCCCGGACCCCGCATTCACTATATCCGCTCTCCCCGGACCCCGCATTCACTATATCCGCTCTCCCCGGACCCCACATTTACTATATCCGCTCTCCCCGGACCCCGCATTCACTATATCCGCTGGCCAGTGGGAGGAATCTTTCATTCCTCATCTTTTATAATTGCCCCCCAATATTAGAACTTTGGTCCCCAATGATTACCAATACACTGGCCAGTGGGACGTTTTAAGGCACTGAGTTTTGATGTAATGAGATGGTCCTCCCATAGAATCTTCCCAGAGTTGGTTTCCTCACAGATAATCCTTTTTTATGGGTATGTCCGGGTGAAGTTCCGGGACTGCTTCTGAAGTGAGGCTTTCTATATCTCCTCATCCATTCCTGCAGCGTGCCGATGGGAGCCATGGAATCTATATTCTCATTATACAGACGCACACTTTTCTGCATATACATTTGTAGCAAACATCATTCTCTATTCCTCCAGGGAGACAGGTTCCCCGTTATCCCGCCACATTCTTTATGCGCCGTACATTGTTTAATCGCGGCCTTCCTAAATCTGTTGCCATGGTTTTTGCAGATTTTTCACAATAATGGTCAGCGAAATATAAGAATGAATAACAAATTTAATGGCAGAAATAAACCTTTTTGTTAAGCGCTATAAAACACCTTGATAAGAAGCCATTAAAACGGAGGCCGGCCCTTTCTCATATTGATTTAGCCTTTGATTTTGTCTTTACAAAGCAAGCTCCTTACCCAATTATTTAACATAACGTATGGGGGGGGGGGGGGGGGCGGAAATAGAAAAGTGAATTCATTAGACGGAGGACACACTGCTTGCTGTATCAACCAACAAATTAACATAGGGCTACCTGCCGGATCTCTCTTCGGAGATCTTTGAATCCTGGATGAAGGAACGGGCCCATGCTGTTCTTTGAATGGTAGACGTCGGCTCACATTGGTTCAACAACTGTGAACTTCTAACATGGATGTTGATATATTCTGACCGGCCGGTGCAGCAGACCTCCCTCCGGTGTACAGTCAAGTTGGCAGTAAAGAAGAAGTCCTTGTCAGGGCAGTGCTACATCTACAGCTAAAGATCCTGATATAGTACATTCCCATCGCTTCTCAAGTGTTCTTGTTACCCACATGGAAGGAAAATATATTTGAAATACTACAATGTTGGCCATATTCAATATATTTCAAAATATATTTTGAAATGTATATATATATATATATATATATATATATATATATATATATATATATACACAGTATACATATATATATATATATTTATATTTATATATATATATATATATTTATTTATATATGCACACATATATAGATATATACAGTATATATATATATTTATTACAGAATATATGAAAAATATTTTTAAAAATACATTTCAAATATACTGCATGTCTTTAAAAATACAAATCTACATTTTTGGAATGCATTTACAAATATGTGTAAAAATATGTTAAAATGACTTTTTTATATGTTTAAAAAATCTGAAGAATATATTTAAAAAAAAAAATCTATTTTTAAAAATACATTATGCATTGTTGGGCGCAGCGGGCGAACAGCCCGCCAAACACCCGTACCATATGTGTGTTCAGCAAACACATGAACGGACCATGCTCGAGTCGCATTTAGGTTTGACTCGAACATGTAGCCCATTACTAGCCAAAAGTATTGGGCCGCCTGCCTCTCCACTCATATGACCTTTAGTGGCCCCCCAGTCTAAGTCTGTAGGGTTCAATATTGAGTTGGCCCCGCCCTTTCCACACACATGACCTTTAGTGCCCCCAGTCTAAGTCTGTAGGGTTCAATATTGAGTTGGCCCCGCCCTTTCCACACACATGACCTTTAATGGCCCCCCAGTCTTAGTCTGTAGGGTTCAATATTAGGTTGGCCTCGCCCTTTCCCCGCACATGACCTTTAATGGCCCCCCCAGTCTTAGTCCGTAAGGTTCAATATTGAGTTGGCCCCGCCCTTTCCACACACATGACCTTTAATGGCCCCCCAGTCTTAGTCCGTAGGGTTCAATATTGAGTTGGCCCCGCTCTTTCCACGCACATGACCTTTAATGACCCCCCAGTCTTAGTCCGTAGGGTTCAATATTGAGTTGGCCCCGCCCTTTCCACACACATGACCTTTAATGGCCCCCCAGTCTTAGTCCGTAGGGTTCAATATTGAGTTGGCCCCGCCCTTTGCAGCTATAACAGCTTCAACTCTTCTGGGAAGGCCGTCCACAAGGTTTAGGAGGGTGTCTATGGGAAGGTTGGACCATTCTTCCAGAAGCACATTTGTCAGGTCAGGCACTGATGTCGGGGGAGGGGCACTGATGTCGGGGGAGGAGGCCTGGCTCACAGTCTCCACTCTAATTCATCCCAAAGGTGTTCTATGGGGTTGAGGTCAGGACTCTGTGCAGGACAGTCAAGTTCCTCCACCCCAAACTGGCTCCTCCATGTCTTTATGGACCTTGCTTTGTGCACTGGTGGGCAGTCATGTTGGAACAGGAAGGGGCCATCCCCAAACTCCTCCCACAAAGTTGGGGGCATGAAATTGTCCAAAATGTCACCTTAAGAGTTCCCTTCACTGGAACTAGGGGGCCAAGCCCAACCCCTGAAAAACAACCCCACACCATAATCCCCCCTCCACCAATTTTTACACTTGGCACAATTCAGTCAGGCAAATACCGTTCTCCTGACAACAAACCCAGACACGTCCATCGGATTGCCAGACAGAGAAGTGTGATTGGTCACTCCAGAGAACACGTCTCCACTGCTCTAGAGTCCAGTGGCGGCATGCTTTACACCACGGCATCCGACGCTTTGCATTGCACTTGGTGATGGAAGGCTTGGATGCAGCTGCTCGGCCATGGAAACCCATTCCATGAAGCTCTCTACGCACTGTTGTTGGGCTCATCTGAAGGCCACACCAAGTTTGGAGGTCTTTAGCTATTGACTCTGCAGACAGTTGGTGACTTCTGCGCACTGTGCGCTTCAGCATGCACTGACCCCGCAATGTCATGTGACGTGGCCTACCACTTGGTGGCTAAGTGGCTGTTGTTCCCAGTGGCTTTCCACTTATAATCCCACTAACAGTTGAGTGTGGAATATTTAGTAGCCAGGAAATGTCACGGATGGACTTATTGCCCAGGTGGCCACCTATCACGGGACCACGCTTGGAGTCACTGAGCTCCTGAGAGCGACCCATTCTTTCACCAATGTTTGTAGAAGCAGTCTGCATGCCTAGGGGCTTGATTGTATACACCTGTGTCCATGGAGGGGATTGGAACACCTGAATCACATGATATGGAGGGATTGGAACACCTGAATCACATGATTGGGAGGGGATTGGAACACCTGAATCACATGATTGGGAGGGGATTGGAACACCTGAATCACATGATTGGAGGGGATTGGAACACTTGAACCTGAAATCACATGATATGGAGGGGATTGGAACACCTGAATCACATGATTGGGAGGGGATTGGAACACTTGAATCACATGATATGGAGGGGATTGGAACACCTGAATCACATGATATGGAGGGGATTGGAACACCTGAATCACATGATCGGGAGGGGATTGGAACACCTGAATCACATGATATGGAGGGGATTGGTACACCTGAATCACATGATTGGGGGGGATTGGAACACCTGAATCACATGATATGGAGTGGATTGGAACACCTGAATCACATGATATGGAGGGGATTGGAACACCTGAATCACATGATTGGGAGGGGATTGGAACACCTGAATCACATGATATGGAGGGGATTGGAACACCTGAATCACATGATTGGGAGGGTTGGATTGGAACACCCGAATCACATGATATGGAAGGGATTGGAACACCTGAATCACATGATTGGGAGGGGATTGGAACACCTGAATCACATGATTGGGAGGGGATTGGAACACTTGAATCACATGATATGGAGGGGATTGGAACACCTGAATCACATGATATGGGAGGGGATTGGAACACCTGAAATCACATGATCGGGAGGGGATTGGAACACCTGAATCACATGATATGGAGGGGATTGGTACACCTGAATCACATGATTGGGGGGGATTGGAACACCTGAATCACATGTTATGGAGTGGATTGGAACACCTGAATCACATGATATGGAGGGGACTGGAACACCTGAATCACATGATTGGGAGGGTATTGGAACACCTGAATCACATGATATGGAGGGGATTGGAACACCTGAAAATCACATGATTGGGAGGGGATTGGAACACCCGAATCACATGATATGGAAGGGATTGGAACACCTGAATCACATGATTGGGAGGGGATTGGAACACCCGAATCACATGATTTGGAGGGCTGGCTCAATACTTTTGGCAATATAGTGTATGTACCGCCGACCTCTTACTGGGACCACTGAATAAACCTCAGTTTCTCTTCCCTATTTTGGGTACAAGTAGTCAGGCACACAAAAATTCACAACTCAGTGACCAGGCCAGAAACATCTTTTTATGAATTAATGCTTGTTGAACGTGGTTGGGTGCAGGGTGGGCTTTGGGATACTCCAAATTCACTGTACAAAGAAACCAGAGGACACTCGTTGCCTGGCCTACACTCTTCCCCAGTTGGTGGTGTCATAAGAGGAGTGAAGATCATTTAAATAAACTTTTAGATATGTTGCTTTGAGAAGGCAATGTACAGGGACATAGAAAATGGTGGCGACATAAACACACATACAGGACAAACTGGATGGATCAGAGTTTTGTATTGAACCCTACGAACTACATAACTACCGCATGTAACCAAGAACCTCGATGTTGTAGCAATAATAATGTCATTAATATACATAAGTACTGGATTGTTGCAAATCCTCAAACTTGGCTTTCTTCTTTCCTTTGCACAAAAGATAACCTCGGGCTGTTTGATTGGTTGGTTGTGGATAAAGTTGTATAGTTGCATACCTAAATATAACAGGCATGCCACTCTCAATAGTGGGCTCCAGACACTATCAACTTTGTAGACATTTAAGAGGAATTCTGAATATTTTATCTAATAATGAAAATTACAAAGAACAGAAAAGTAAAGGAGGTAAGCTGAAATATTCAACATTTTATTCTGTTCTTTAAAAATTTATTTCTACCGTGTGGTTTGAGGAAAGGGTAGAACTTGATAAATGGCCTCTTGGTCCATGTAACCTTATAAATCTGGAGAACGCCGTCTTCCAAAGAATCGGCTTCATTTACCGCGGGGTAAAGAACATTTAACAGTATGTCGTGATTGACTCTTACACCTCCATGACAAGAATGGAATATACTCCTTCCACCCCCCCCCCCCCCCCCCCCCCCCCCCCCCCCCCCCCCCTCCTCCCCCCCCCCCCCCCCCCCCCCCCCCCCCCCCCCCCCCCCCCCCCCCCCCCCCCCCCCCCACCTAACCAAGCCTGCCAGGCCAAACCCTCCACCATCCCAGCTATACAAAATACACAAACCAAGTTTTTGGAGTCAAAATGGCCGGAGCAGCCTTTTATTAACCAATAAATTATTTTAACATCGATAACATAGCATTCCAAATTATAAACAAATGAAAACGTGGTGGTCATTTGAGGGCCATAAACCCAACTTCACTTTTGCGGAAAACATTCCTTCAACTTAGGCCCCCAGCCGCAACCCACTGGCTCGGGGACAGTCCTACTTATCCCCATCCGCAACCCACCGGCTCGGGGACAATCCTACTTATCCTCAGCCACAACCCACCAGCTCGGGGACAATCCTACTTATCTCCAGCCACAACCCACCAGCTCGGGGACAATCCTACTTATTCCCAGCCACAACCCACCAGCTTGGGGACAATCCTACTTATCCCCAGCCACAACCCACCGGCTCGGGGACAATCCTACTTATCCCCAGCCGCAACCCACCGGCTCAGGGACAATCCTACTTATCCCCAGCCACAACCCACCGGCTCAGAGACAATCCTACTTATTCCCAGCCACAACCCACCAGCTCGGGGACAATCCTACTTATTCCCAGCCACAACCCACCGGCTCGGGGACAATCCTACTTATCCCCAACCACAACCCACCAGCTCGGGGACAATCCTACTTATTCCCAGCCACAACCCACCAGCTCGGGGACAATCCTACTTATCCCAGCCACAACCCACCGGCTCGGGGACAATCCTACTTATCCCCAGTCGCATCCCACCAGCTCAGGGACAATCCTACTTATCCCCAGCCGCAACCCACCTGCTCGGGGACAATCCTACTTATCCCCAGCCACAACCCACCGGCTCGGGGACAATCCTACTTATCCCCAGCCGCAACCCACCTGCTCGGGGACAATCCTACTTATCCCCAGCCGCAACCCACCGGCTCGGGGACAATCCTACTTATCCCCAGCCACAACCCACCGGCTCGGAGACAATCCTACTTATCCCCAGCCGCAACCCACCTGCTCAGGGACAATCCTACTTATCCCCAGCCACAACCCACCGGCTTGGGGATAACCCTACTTATCCGCAGTGATCACCATTTTACCTATTGTGAGAGTTAACCCCTTGTTAACTGGAATGTACCGAGGCCCCCATACCATTGATGGGTCCCGAATCTGTCTCCATACAGAATTCTTTCCTCCTCCAAAAATCAACCACCGCCAAGGCAACCGTGACAATCCAAACCACAGCACAAAGGTGAGGGAGGGTGGGAAGCTTCTTCTTCCAAACGTCCCCCACTGGACTTCCTGAGGACAGACCCTCCTCTTCCTCCCTGGGAGACCCTCCCCAACATCCTTAAGCTGTAATCCCCAAAACATCCTTCCCATAATTTAACCTTCTGTTGTCCCTCTATTCCCCCCTACTCATGTCGACTCTGCGCTTATTTTTTTTTTGCTCTGGGCCTTCCTAACCTGATCTAACCTGGTAAATCTTAACAATAGACTGCAGGCTGGACTAGGCATTCAGTAGAAAAGTGTTGATGATGTCAATGAAGCTTTGCAAGTGCCTCATCCTGGGGGTTTCTGCAAATCCGTTGAATTTTCTCTATACTTTTGTCTGACAGCAGACCCCTGGTTTTACAAGAGGCTAACTTTATTAACTAGAATGTCTCTTCTGTGCTTCTGCTTTGAATTTGTGAATGAATTGCCCCATGATGCCTGCAGCTACAGAGGTCAGTGGTGGCCTGTTTTAAAACGGATTTGCTGCTTGTTAAGGATATGTAAATACTTGAATGTCCCAAGCCTGGCCACATGTTCACTGTGTAACACTACCCCCTTAGGAGTTACTGAGTATTAGGGTCCCCCTATAGTCCTGCATTACAAGGCAATGCAAATTTTCACACAGACCTGCATCCATCCATCCTACAAGTCCATGAGAAAGGATTATCTTCTAGGAGAGCTCTCCAGCCTCTCCGGGTGTATTGCCCTAGACCCCAGAAAAATGCTGTTCTTTACCCAGCTGTCTGTAGGAATCCCCGGGCAAGGGGATCCAGCGGCTGCTGCTTGAAAGGGTTAACAGTCCCATATATTGAGCTAGTCAGGTTTCCCACCAGAATAACCCTTCCCCTATTTGGCCCAGCGTGTGCAGGATTACTCACTCAGTCCTTCTCCTGTGCTGCTGCTGGGTTGGTAGCTGCTACCAGGCCTTTTAGCTGGTCTGCTCCTTCCCTCGCTCTTGGGGCCAGTGAAGCCTTGAGTTTTCATCCTTCCAAGCACCCAGCCTGTAGGTAGGCCCATATCCCACTGGGCCCCCTCCCAGGTTCCTGCATCTCTGCCTCTCTCACATCTTTCACCCGAACTTTCCTGCAGCTGAGCAGGCTCACTCACTCTTAACGGTTGTCATGGCCCCTTGCCAAGCCTCCTGTTGGGGATTGGCCAGGCTTCCTCAAAAGTGCAGATCAGCCACTCCTCAGATCCACCCACTTCTTCTAGACATTTCTTCAGCAAAGTTCTAGAGCATGGGGAAATTCCAGAGGGCTGTTCTGCAGAGCCTCTCAGCTCTGACCACAATTTGACCCCTGCTAGCTATCACACCCAGGCTGCTACTCAGCCCTCCTAGCTAACAATTGAGCTCTAGCTCCCCCTGGCTTCTCCCCCAGCCCTTCTCGTAGAACTGGTGACATAGGTACAAGGATGCAGATATTTCCTCTGGGTAAGGCACTGTTTAAATGTTTCCCCTGTAGTATTCAGAAATTCCTGTAAAGATATGCATGCCCAGGGACCGCCATAGAAAATAGGACAGAGATGTTCATTATGCTCCAAAGCCTGATACATGCAGATGCCTGGGCATGGGTGTATTTTCTCACCCAGGAGCCACAGGTACTGCATATGGCCCTCCATAGAAATCAAGGACTGTACACAAAGCCTCACTGAATGCCAGTATAAACACTTGCATCCATACAGACATATGCCCCTGGACACTAGCAGTCATACGTCTATGTGTTTGCATGAGTACCAGTGTTCATCCAGCTACAGCCATTGATTTCTATGGGCAGCCGGATGCACCACCGGGTGGGGAAATGAGCCTGGACTTTACATCAAACAGCCCCAGGTACCCCCTTGCATGAGGCTAATGCATTGAGACTTCACCTATGGGAAACATATAACCTTTGGCAGCCTGGAGCAGTAAACACTCAGTGGTGTCTCTAGTTGAGGCCTGTACCTCATGAGGATACGGAGGAACTTTTATTCATAAAAGTAATGTTACCCTTTAAAATTTCCTAATGGTCTTGGCGTGATGGGCAAATGCTGGGGGGGACAATCTATAGGGACATGCTTTCTAACCTGTTTGGTAAACGTTCTCC